TATTTCCTGGCGCATGAATAGGACGCCCTCCTGACAAATCCTCTGCAAGCGACACATGTCTCATATCTCATAAAACAACACCAAATAATCAATAGTCCAGCATCCTTCGTGTCTGTCCATCGAACCTTCTTAGAAGCCGAGAATCGTAGTTTTGACTCTCCTTACCCGGTTGCAGCGATGCCCCACACCAGTGCCGTCATCGTCAGCCGCAACCTTCGGGTTTTCAAATAATCCCGGAGTAGTCCCCAAATTCTAGTGAGCGCGGCCTCACCTCATCCCTGCATGGGTTTCCTTTCTCGCTACAACGGTGCACACAAATCCAATAAGGACAAACGTTCTCAAATAAACCCTTTCAATTATGATATTTCAAGTCTGTCTGTTTTTCAGCCTCGACTAGGTTTTCGGTGTCTCTTGGTGCGCGTCCACGCACGCTGCAACGGCGGAATTGTCAGCTCCAATCCCTGGTCTTACAGAGAAACACCGAAGACAGCGTCCGCAGCAAGAGCCCAAATTTCGTAGCAATAACACGTCCAACTATATATCATACTAGGATAGTAAATGCTACAGCCTTGGGAAGCTGTGCTGGCGCCGATGTTTTCAGGCCAAAGCCACTTGAGTCTCAGCAAGCAGAAGCTCGGCTAATGGGATATCCCCTAGCAACAAATGAACTCGGCCTTCAATGAGTCTGATGGTGGGGGGGTTCCTAGTAAGGAAAATGCGTGGAAGCATTTTCGGCCTGCGTTGAGAACAACTGACAAGGAAACACGGGGACTTGACCGCCCCTCCTAGGATCACACACAATCAGTCGGAAACTTACAGAAAAAAATCAAGTGCTTGAAGTGAGGTATTTGAGCCATGTGTCAGCTCTGTGGGTTCTCGAATCATTTCACTGGCATGGGTTCCCAGTGCGAGCAGCGGAAACATTTTTGCCAGACCCTCGTCCGATAATATTCTCGCTCGTGAGCACTCTCTCATGCATCATTTTCTAATACACCTTTTCCACTCTGGTTTAAGTCACACAGCAGGCCAGCGTTGACCAGTCGAATGGCCGTTTTATAGCTTGAGGTTTTGATATATTCAAGCTATTGTTTTTCCGTTGCGCATAATGAATGTTCACACCTTTTGTTTGGTCCCACAGGCAACTTCTTACCCTCTCATATTTACATATAATGAAAAAATCGGGTTGCATTCGTCTAGTGCCTATGCTGGTCATCAGTTACTCCTTCTTAGAAAACACTAGGAGCGAATCTTCACACCTCCTACTTGGACCGACGGCCAGTCTCCTAGCCTCTCGAACTCAAGTAGCTGCTCTTCAGATACTGAGAAATTGAATTGCATTAGTCTAGAGGCCATGCCGGGATTTGAATCGTACCTTGGTAGTGCACTAGCCTCAGCGAGCTATCAAAAGGCCTGACACATACTTTTCATTTTGAGGGCAACACGCTACGGAATCCACAAAGCAAGGCTAATCAACAGCTTGCCATCATATATGTGCTGCCCTTCCCTTTTTACCAAACATCGGTATTCATGTTCACTCAGCACTCGCATTGGCTACGCTGGTGGTGCATAGTGCTCAGGCACAAGCTCCTTAAGGAAAGCAACTTTGTCCTACAACTACACCGGGTGAAGACAGGCAGAACTCTTAGCTTTAAGAGATAGCGATAGTATAACAAAGCACAATGGGATATTTTTGTTTATATTTGTCTTTAGTAGCTCTTAGGGCTACCACGCTGAGCCGCCGAACCACCTGTTATGGAGGTGTAGCCAAAGGCTCGGGT